AAATAGATGCTGGTAAAGCTATTCTTTCCCCTCAAGGGGAAGCCACAATATATAAAGTTAGCATGGACTATAGAGTTTGTTGGAAATATGACACCTCTGGATGCCAGGAAATAGCAGCTGGTAAAGCGGCAGAAAATAATATTGTTAAAAATTTAATTTCTTATCATTGCCATAACTAGATAAATTGAGTTACTTAATCCTCCAAAACTGTAAGAAACACGAATACATATATTATAATGCATAAAACAAAAATGACTATAACATATTGTAATTGTATTTACACGGCGTGGAGGGTACTCAGCTCTGAATATAAACAATATGCAATAAATAAAACAAATAAAGCAAATGGGCCTCCTATACCTACACGTTAATGAACATACTGCTCGAACAATTTTAATTACATTTTCTTGCAAAGTTCAGTCTGGAACATTAATTAATTATATATCATGCTCTAGATGAGATATAATATCACTTGAATTGTAAAAAAAAAATAATAATAGGCCTAAGTAATTGCGGTGTTTTCTTCTGGTAGGCCTTATGCTGATTAGACCTTAATTCTAGTCAATCCTTGGCATAATCATGGCAGACAGACAATGCAGAAATCTAGCCTGGTGATAAAGACATAATAGAGTAGGCCTACTAACATTAGGGCGATCCAGTTTGTGAGTGGAGAGGAGAACAATGGGTTTGAATGTGGTTACTATTACAGGAGTCAAGAGGTCCTACCGCTTAAAGAGGTATTGTCCCATGCAGAATATCAAAAGAAAAAAAATCAAAAAAACTAATTTTTGAAATTAACTTGCCCATTTTGAAGTAACATATAATTATCAACTTGAACATAACAAATAGTGTATTTAAAAAGTGTTTGCCCGTCATTTTACAACGAAAAAGATAGAAACACTTCCAGTTACTGGAAGTGTTTTATTATTTTTATTTATTTTATTTATTATAATTATCCAGTTTAAAAATCAGGGAACACATTTTTAAATTCAATAATTTCCTATGCTCAAGTTAAAATGTATATGTTACTTCAAAAAATGAGCAATTTCAAAATTATTTGTTATGAATTTTTGTCATTTTCAAGAAACAATACATCTTTAAACCTTATTTACCTTGATGCCCAGAAAAAATATGAATTAATGATGATCATAATTTTGATGAGGGGACGATGGTAACGATGACGGTTATGATGACGATAACGGTGATAATGACGACGATGGTGTCGATGGCGATGACGTCGACGATGGTGATGAACGGTAATGATGTTTATGTAGGTAGTGGCATTTTTGAGAGCGATGGGGAAACTAATGCAGACTAACGTGAAGCGAGTCCTAATCTGGAATCAAAGGAAAATAAAGGCCCACGGTCAGGGGAAATCCTGTCTCTTATACACATCTAGATGTGTATAAGAGACAGGCTCAGAGCATCGCCTGTGTATATAGGCTCTATTTATTAATGATCTAGTTTGTATTGTGTTGTGTTTATTTGATTCCCTCTATATGTTTAATTTGACTGTTGGTTAGTTGTGCATTGTTACACTGATTGATCTATGTTAATTGATTGGTTATGTTAAATGAATTATCCATTGTTGTTCTATCAACCTTCTAACTCAGTCTAGTCTTAAGCTATAATCAACTGGTTAAAATTCATATTCAGTATGCCGGATCCGGTAATTAAAAAAAAGTTTCAAAAAGTTGTGTGTGTATGTATGTACATATGGGTCTGTGTGTGTGTATGTGTGTGTGTGTGTGTGTGTGTGTGTGTTAGGGCCTAATATATATATATATATATTTTATATACTCATATATAGGCCTATATATATATATATATATATCAAGATAGCCGTTAAAACTTAAATTATATAAATCATCAAATCAAATTGCTGATTCAATCATTATATATAGGCCTATATATATCATCAAATCAAATTTCTTCGATTTGATGATTTATATAATTTAAGTGTTAACGGCTATCTATATACCTATATACCTATACGGCCATGTTCACGAATAAGCTGTCACATTGCAGATTTGAGTAATTAATAGGCCTAAATGTGTTGAATACATTGGTGGTTATTCTGTAGGCATATTAATTACTCAAATCTGCAATATTCCCAGGGGCGGATCAAAGGGGTAAAATGCGATAACTGCCTCTACCACCCACCCCCCCCCCTTCAAAATAGAGAAGAAAAGAAAAAGGGGAGCACGTTATAAGGAAACAAGCTAATTTCGATTTAAATTCCATGTAGGCCCTACCAGTATCTTTGTCAAGCATGCTAGTCGTACGTCGCATGGTTTTATCCCATATTTTTCTCTGGATCCGATCTGGACAAAAACAAATATGTTGCAATTTTTAGACTCCCGATCTTCCAAGATTGAGAAGATCAGACATACTTTAAAGTGGACCTTTAGGATTGTCAATCAAACTTTACAACCAATCAGAAAAGGGCCTGGAATATACGCGCGTCTAACAAGCACAGGTGTTGCCTCACAAACGCACGTGTTTGCGTATGTAATGTCATTTTGTGGGACCTTAGCAACAGTATCCAAGGGGCGGGGCTTAGCGGAAAGGTCCGTTGCTTCCTCGCGATTATCTATAAAAATATAAATCTCAGATTCTCGTTGTAAAATAGGACTGTATTGGGGTCTACAATGATTGTCAGTGACTTCAACATAACACAGTCTGGTTTCATTTTCTTTTTACGTATCTCAACAATTGTATTGTTGTTCTATAATGCGTCTTTGAGCGAAGACCAAATCAAACCAAGGCCCAATGTCATCCTACATTTTCGTCAAGTAGGCCTAACAATAGGCGATATGGAACCGTACAGAATCACCACCAAATTGTCTATTTACTGAGCAATCTAATCTATTTCCTCTTTTACATTTCTAAATGCTGTACGGCTTCAACAATTGAATTGCGCAATGAAAATCGCAACCTACAAAATAAACCTTAGGACTATTGAGTTATCAAATGCCAATATTGGACTATAACCCATACATGGTAGCAGCCTTTAAGACCATCGTTCTTTAAAATAGGCAGTCTCCTTCAGTGTGATCCAGGACTAGAGCTATCCCAGTCAAGGATTTCAACAGTCGGACCCAGCATATTTTTTGGATGGCTCCAGGATATATTTGGGGGGGGGGGCTAAGTTGTCCGACGGGGGGACTTGAGCTCGTATGCTCGAGCTGGGAGAGGGGGTTCCCCTTCACAAATGAGATTTTTTTTAAAAGAATATCAACCTATAGATGGCCGAAAATGGCACTCTCAGACTGTGACAGACATGTGTTGGCTTGTTGTGGGCCTATTTTTATGTTTTATCTTGGGCTTGACCTGTCCGGTGGGGGCTTAAGCCCCCCCCCCGCCACCCCGCTGGCGCCGCCACTGACTGGCATCAGTGGAGGAAAAAACAAACTGAACTGAACTCTGACATCTCCGTCATCAAAATATATCCACTCTGTTGATAACTGACGAACCAGTATATGATGGCAGGTTTCTATATTTCCTCTCAAGATTCAAGATTCAATTATTTATTGCAACTGAGCCATCGAGGGCAATCATCCGATATGTTACAAACAAATTGCACAATTACAAAAATCACAAAATACATTTCTCAGGATGGGCCATATCCCATTTGAATTAGGAAATAAAGATCTGTCCACAATATTAAATTTTCTTTTACAAAAATACTGTTGTAGCCCATATATAGTCATGATGTGCCTATCATGATGTGCCCATATATCATGATGTGCCTATATACTCGTATTTACTTCATATTAAAAAAAGAAATGAATATATGTTAGTTTGATTTGATCTGATATATGGTCATGATGTAATGCCATCATGACCATATTTAGACATGCCAATCAATCATTCAATCATTAAATTTTGCTAGGTGACTCTTGCTCTGACTAGGGGAGTCCAATACATTTCTGAATATTAGGCCAACGTATATATCTAGAAAAGGAAACACGTCTCCACTGCCTACAATTTAGGTCAGCCTGGCGTTCAACCTGTCGATATTTCAATCAAATATATATAATTTATTCAATCGTTAACTATCAAAATAATGCTAGTGATTATTGAAAACCCATGCATAAGACTACACAAAAGAGATTATCTGTTTAAAGATCGTTGCTCAAAATAACTTAATATAGTGTAAATATAATTTTACATGGACACGAATGCTCAATAATCACCGACTATAATAAGACATCATTTTATCGAATGTCTTAATAAAACATCGGAACCCGCAACCTATTAGGGCCTCCTATATATATATAT